GTTCCTATTGTTCCACTGTGGATCGTAGGGCATTAATAAAGTGGTTGAACATGGTCCTGTCTCGGGCTATAACAGCTACTTCTAATTTATCGTCTCCATTACCATTAATTACTATTTCAATTGTTTATACCCGGATAGATTTGATCCAGCAAGGCAGTAGCAGCAAAAAGGTCAGGCTGATACCCTGCTTCTAATTGGACTATCGGTCACAGCTACAATCACAAATTTCATATTTGACCCTTCAGTTCAAGTACAGCGTCAAAGAGCAGCTTAAAAGCTGTACTGTACCAACAAAGTCGCAACCCCTAGATTTAAAATTCCTCACACAGCAGAACAAATAGAAAATCTTTGTTTTCATTTGTGTCAAGTTGACGGAGGTCTATCAAGACACATAAAAAATATCAATCTAACATTGTCCGACAAGTATGTAATCGAAAACGATGGAGGTTGATTCATATTTCTATTAAGTGACAAAGGACACTTAAAAACCAACGACAAATGTGTGTTTTATTGACTTTCATAACATGTCAAATGATTTGGCATTTTAAACTTGATTGAATTTGTCGAATGAGCAATTTCGCTCAAATTAATTTTCGATTAAATTGTGATTTAAAATCAAATTCATAATAAACGAATTAATTTGAAACGATTTTGTTGAATGTGTAAATGACATTGAGTATGTAATATGTTATTGAACTTGTTAAAAGGGGAAATAACGAGAAATGAAAATTTAATTTATATCCCGAAAAGCAAATGATGTTATTGCAACTAGGATGGCGTTAGGTTTCAGTGGACTTCAACACTCTCTATAGCTATGCTCCTACTCAGCACTGCAAGACATGAATGAGAAAATAATGAATAATCCTGGATGGGTTCGGTTTGATGTCAACTTGAAGTTTGATTCGAGCATGAATCCGACTTAAAGCTGCCCGGATGTCAAATTATTCACATCTTTGGTATACAGATAAGTTTCCAAGAAATCAAATAAATTTTCGACAACAAGCGAACTTTTATTAATAAATAGAAATTACACCACATCGAAATTTCCAGTTTAGCAAATTTCAGGCACTTCCTATTAAAATCAGAAATAACTTTTTCTTAGAAAATAAATTTTGCTTCTATTTCAATATTTTCCCCCTAACACTCACAATCATGATTTTCTCCCCAAACCAAATATGCTTTAGCATTTTTCATGAATATTATGTAAGCATATGAGCAAGTGTGTAGGTTGTAAGCATAATAAAATAAATCCTATTATGTCTTTTCAGTAATCAACTTGAAAATTTTGCCAATATTTCAGCAAGAACTTCTACTATCAATCAATGAGTTCTTTTTCATCATTATTTATATGAGAATTGTTTGAAAAAGCTGATGAGTATAGGAAGAAGATTAAAGTGATGGATTCCCGTTCATCATTTATTGAGTGTATGCATGTACATACCTGGGGAGTGTGTAGCTTGTGACTGATTTTAGAACATACTTTACATAAATCTATAAAAAAAATACAAGCTGATTGTGAATAGCATAATCAAACATTTCCATAATTTCTAAGAAAAACAGCAGAAAGGAACGACGAACATGCGATGACATTAAAATAACTTGCTTCGTGATGCTCTTTATGTCCTTTTTAGATTAAATTTTTAAATTTTAATGTAATTTAAAAAGATTTATTCAGCTATGACATTCAGTATTTAAAGTAAGTTCCAAGTTTATTTATTTATAGGTTAGGGATAGGTTAGGCATAGGTTTAGGTTAGGTTTAGGTTAGGTTTAGGTTAGGTTTAGGTTAGGTTTAGGTTAGGTTTAGGTTAGGTTTAGGTTAGGTTTAGGTTAGGTTTAGGTTAGGTTTAGGTTAGGTTTAGGTTAGGTTTAGGTTAGGTTTAGGTTAGGTTTAGGTTAGGTTTAGGTTAGGTTTAGGTTAGGTTTAGGTTAGGTTTAGGTAAGGTTTAGGTTAGGTTTAAGTTAGGTTTAGGTTAGGTTTAGGTTAGGTTTAGGTTAGGTTGAAATCATTCCTTTTTTCCTACTTGCTCAACAGTTCTTAAAAAAGAAAAAAATACTTCGAAGCAAATAAAATCAATATTCTTACAACAACTCAACCCACATTGGCGTGAGCATCAAGATTAGTAAGAGAATAATCAGAACAATGACATTATGTGAATAACATTGAAAATTGATGAAACTATTTCTATTCCTAGGAATATTCGATGAGTGTTAGATGCTGTACACATCAGTCTATGCTAAACATGTCAGAGATAATTAAAATTTAAGTACTTTACATGTAAAATCAAATAACAGCTGTGAATCAGGTGGTTCTTTGTAAAAGAATAAATCGATTAATCAAGAAATTCAGTATTCAAAGTAAGTTTGTCTTCGTCCTTGGATGCAAACTATTGCATTTTTTATGCAGCAAACATCAAACTACTTCTTTTGATCATATTTCAGTAGTTTACAAAGTAAACATTTCATCAACTCGCTCCAAAAGTCACCATAAATAATGACTGTTGCTTGTTTATTTCAAAAGGAAATGTTGAGCAGGTAACAAGTCATTAAAACTTGTTTGATGCCATTTGTTATCAGAGCTATTTGAAATTATAATTACAATTACTTTCACTTTGAACTGTAAGAATTGTGACTGTTAAGATGCAAAAATGCTGAATTTTAATTACGGAGTTATTCAAGAACATGTAAAAGTGGAGAGTCTGATTGTTGATTTTTCTTTTTGGTTCCAATTTTCTTAATTGACAAATGACAACATTACTTATTATATGTTTGGCATATATGATCCAAAGTAATTAACATATTTACATATCATCAAATTTTATGGATATAACATTTAAGTGCTAACATTATAGAAATTACCATTATTAAATTTATTACTATTAACGACATCATAATCAAAATAACTGTCTAGTAATTTAATTTGAACTCCCAATTTCGAATACTCACTTGATTGAGTCTCAAATTGGGAAAAACATTAAAGGGATGAAAAGCATTTAATTAATTACTGAGAAGAAAATTATCTTTTCTATAAAATCCAGAAGAGAAAAGTTTTATTATTTTATGGAAATTTGCAACAAGGAAGATTAATCAAAATGAAAATTTGCAGCCACAATGGTCAAACTATATGAAAATAATAGACTTACGTCATCTACCTTTTTCATGATTTATTCATCTGAGATATGCAAATTGAGGATTTTCTTGGACCTTTTCCTATTAACAGTTTTTTTTTTATTATTATTGCAAAGGTTGCAGTGATATTCAATATAGATTTTAAGATCCAAATTTGGTAAGTTTTAGAGCTGAGATGGTCAAATTTTGGGGTCTGCAAAGGTTGCAGTAATATTCAATTTAGATTCTAAGATCCAAATTTGGTAAGTTTTGGAGCTGAGAAGGTCAATTATTGGGGTCTGCAAAGGTTGCAGTAATATTCAATATAGATTCTTAGGTCCAAATTTGGTAAGTTTTGGAGCTGAAAAGGTCAAATTTTGGGGTCTAATGAAACTTCAATAATTATTGCAAAGGTTGCAGTAATATTCAATATAGATTCTAAGATCCAAATTTGGTAAGTTTTGGAGCTGAGAAGGTCAAATTTTGGGGTCTGCAAAGGTTGCAGTAATATTCAATAAAGATTCTAAGATCCAAATTTGGTAAGTTTTGTAGCTGAGAAGGTCAAATTTTGGGGTCTGCAAAGGTTGCAGTAATATTCAATATAGATTCTAAGATCCAAATTTGGTAAGTTTTGGAGCAGAGAAGGTCAAATTTTGGGGTCTGCAAAGGTTGCAGTAATATTCAATATAGATTCTAAGATCCAAATTTGGTAAGTTTTGGAGCAGAGAAGGTCAAGTTTTGGGGTCTGTAAAGGTTGCAGTAATATTCAATATAGATTCTTAGATCCAAATTTGGTAAGTTTTGGATCTGAAAAGGTCAAATTTTGGGGTCTAATGAAACTTCAATTATTATTGCAAAGGTTGCAGTGATATTCAATATAGATTCTTAGATCCAAATTTGGTGCGTTTTGGATCTGAAAAGGTCAAATTTTGGGGTCTAATGAAACTTCAATAATTCTTGCAATGGTTGCAGTGATATTTAATATAGATTCTTAGATCAAAATTTGGTAAGATTTGGAGCTGAGAAGGTCAAATTTTGGGGTCTAATGAAACTTCAATAATTATTGCAAAGGTTGCAGTGATATTCAATATAGATTCTTAGATCCAAATTTGGTGCGTTTTGGATCTGAAAAGGTCAAATTTTGGGGTCTGCAAAGGTTGCAGTAATATTCAATATAGATTCTTAGATCCAAATTTGGTGCGTTTTGGAGCTGAGAAGGTCAAATTTTGGGGTCTGCAAAGGTTGCAGTAATATTCAATATAGATTCTAAGATCCAAATTTGGTAAGTTTTGGAGCAGAGAAGGTCAAGTTTTGGGGTCTGCAAAGGTTGCAGTAATATTCAATATAGATTCTAAGATCCAAATTTGGTAAGTTTTGGAGCAGAGAAGGTCAAGTTTTGGGGTCTGCAAAGGTTGCAGTAATATTCAATATAGATTCTTAGATCCAAATTTGGTAAGTTTAGGATCTGAAAAGGTCAAATTTTGGGGTCTAATGAAACTTCAATTATTATTGCAAAGGTTGCAGTGATATTCAATATAGATTCTTAGATCCAAATTTGGTGCGTTTTGGAGCTGAGCAAGGGCGAGACACTCTAAAAGTATTGTAATGTATTGTACAATACTTTACAATACATATGAAAGTATTGTAAGTATTGTACAATACCTACAATACTTACAATACTTGTATGACAAGTATTGTAGGATTGTACAATACTTACAATTCTTACAATACTTGTATGGAAAGTATTGTAAGTATTATAGTTTTTAAAAGACAGTTTGAGAAACATTTATCATATGAATTTGATTATAATTGACGGTTTTTATGTAGTTTCTCGTGTTTCTTTACATTTTTTGAACCAAAATTTGATAAAAATACATAATTAGCAATTTTGAACTAAATATTTTTAAGTTTTAATTGAAGTTTTATAGTTCTCCAAAAACATTAAGTCTAAAACATATACAAATATTGTAAAAATATTTTTATACAAAATTTTTGGTAATATAGTCATTTTTCAAAATTGTCAATAGCAAAAAAGTATTCTGGCTCGAAACAAAGGCGAGCAGCCAAAAATATCAAAAATTATTAATGAAAACATAGATAAGATGAGAATATTAGACATTAGTCTCCTCATATTAGAGGAACTTTAACGTTTGCTTCAGTTTTATAGAGGTAGCACCGAGGTTTCGTGTTTTTTATAGCGCTTTAAGTCATATCATAACATTGCTATGCTTCGATTTAAGTTTGTTTCTTTAAAGTTAACTTTGCTTTTAGTAAGGACATTTTTCATCAAAAATTTTCAGTGAATTTTCCTGAAATGATATATCTTTTTGTATTAACTAGGCATTCACGATTTCCCGGACCCAAAAAATAATCGGGAACTGAACAAAAATTTAAACTCAAATATCAAACATGCTCCTGGAAATTTGGAAGATTTTTTGTGTTCAAATGCTGAAACTTTTCAATTGAGATAATTTGACATTAAAATTTTTTGGATAAATATTTTTATTCATCGAGTTTCTGTCCCAAAAATTTCAGGAACAGAAAATCGTGAAAGTCTAGTATCAACTATAAGAACTAAAAAAATAAGAATAATTTTGGCAAAGAAAGAAGAAAATATACAGTTTTATATTGTCTTAGATATGCAGTTGTTGACAATATGTATTTTTAAAAAAAAAATGCTATAAAAATCATTTGATAAGTTTGTTAAATTTGATTCCTTCTTAATCGCCTTCTTGTCAGAGGTAATAAAACGTAATATAAAACGTAATAAAGTTTGCTATAAAAAGTGATAAATCTTGTGAAAATGAAACCAATCTATTTAATTTTGATTCCTTATTGACATTTAATAATAGTTTACATAATAAACTAAGGTTTTATGCATGCGGTTTTATGCATGAGAATTGTATGAAATCAATTCTTGATTTACATCATTCTAGCTTTACAAAAGAATTTTGAACTTTTTACAATTTTTATAGCCATTACATAATCAGAAATTCTCTTTTTTAATGGAAAACTGAAATTTTTGCTAGTTTTTCATAAAATACCCCTGCTAATTTTCAATAATAATTTTAATTTATCAAAAAAAAATTGTTATTTATCAATATTTGTCAAAAAAAGAATTAAATTTCAGTATTGTAAGTATTGTAAAGTATTGTAAATTTATATGAAAAGTATTGTAAGTATTGTACAATACTTACAATACTTATATGGCAAGTATTGTAAGTATTGTAGGTATTGTACAATACTACAATACTTGTATGGAAAGTATTGTAAGTATTGCAAGTATTGTACAATACCGTACAATACTTTGGAGTGTCTGACCCTTGGAGCTGAGAAGGTCAAATTTTGGGGTCTGCAAAGGTTGCAGTAATATTCAATATAGATTCTAAGATCCAAATTTGGTAAGTTTTGGAGCAGAGAAGGTCAAGTTTTGGGGTCTGCAAAGGTTGCAGTAATATTCAATATAGATTCTTAGATCCAAATTTGGTAAGTTTTAGAGCTGAGAAGGTCAAATTTTGGGGTTTAATGAAACTTCAATAATTATTGCAAAGGTTGCAGTGATATTCAATATAGATTCTTAAATCCAAATTTGGTGCGTTTTGGATCTGAAAAGGTCAAATTTTGGGGTCTAATGAAACTTCAATAATTATTGCAAAGGTTGCAGTGATATTCAATATAGATTTTAAGATCCAAATTTGGTAAGTTTTGGAGCTGAGAAGGTCAGATTTTGGGGTCTAATGAAACTTCAATTATTATTGCAAAGGTTGCAGTGATATTCAATATAGATTCTTAGATCCAAATTTGGTGCGTATTGGATCTGAAAAGGTCAAATTTTGGGGTCTAATGAAACTTCAATAATTATTGCAAAGGTTGCAGATTCAATTTATATTCTAAGATCCAAATTTGGTAAGTTTTGGAGCTGAGAAGGTCAAATTTTGGGGTCTAATGAAACTTCAATAATTATTGCAAAGGTTGCAGTGATATTCAATATAGATTCTTAGATCCAAATTTGGTGCGTTTTGGATCTGAAAAGGTCAAATTTTGGGGTCTAATGAAACTTCAATAATTATTGCAAAGGTTGCAGTAATATTTAATATAGATTCTAAGATCCAAATTTGGTAAGTTTTGGAGCTGAGAAGGTCAAATTTTGGGGTCTGCAAAGGTTGCAGTAATATTCAATATAGATTCTAATGTTCAAATTTGGTAAATTTGGATCTGAAAAGGTCAAATTTTGGAGTCTGCAAAGGTTGCAGTGATATTCAATATAGATTTTAAGATCCAAATTTGGTAAGTTTTGGAGCTGAGAAGGTCAAATTTTGGGGTCTAATGAAACTTTAATTATTATTGCAAAGGTTGCAGTGATATTCAATATAGATTCTTAGATCCAAATTTGGTGCGTTTTGGATCTGAAAAGGTCAAATTTTGGGGTCTAATGAAACTTCAATAATTATTGCAATGGTTGCAGTAATATTTAATATAGATTCTAAGATCCAAATTTGGTAAGTTTTGGAGCTGAGAAGGTCAAATTTTGGGAACTGCAAAGGTTGCAGTAATATTCAATATAGATTCTATGATCCAAATTTGGTAAGTTTGGATCTGAAAAGGTCAAATTTTGGGGTCTAATGAAACTTCAATAATTATTGCAATGGTTGCAGTGATATTCAATATAGATTCAAAGATCCAAATTTGGTAAGTTTGGATCTGAAAAGGTCAAATTTTTGGGTCTAATGAAACTTCAATAATTATTGCAATGGTTGCAGTGATATTCAATATAGATTCTTAGATCCAAATTTGGTGCGTTTTGGATCTGAAAAGGTCAAATTTTGGGGTCTAATGAAACTTCAATAATTATTGCAATGGTTGCAGTAATATTCAATATAGATTCTAAGATCCAAATTTGGTAAGTTTTGGAGCTGAGAAGGTCAAATTTTGGGAACTGCAAAGGTTGCAGTAATATTCAATATAGATTCTATGATCCAAATTTGGTAAGTTTTGGAGCTGAGAAGGTCAAATTTTGGGGTCTAATGAAACTTCAATTATTATTGCAAAGGTTGCAGTGATATTCAATATAGATTCTTAGATCCAAATTTGGTGCGTTTTGGAGCTGAGAAGGTCAAATTTTGGGGTCTGCAAAGGTTGCAGTAATATTCAATATAGATTCTAAGATCCAAATTTGGTAAGTTTTGGAGCAGAGAAGGTCAAGTTTTGGGGTCTGCAAAGGTTGCAGTAATATTCAATATAGATTCTTAGATCCAAATTTGGTAAGTTTTGGAGCTGAAAAGGTCAAATTTTGGGGTCTAATGAAACTTCAATTATTATTGCAAAGGTTGCAGTGATATTCAATATAGATTCTTAGATCCAAATTTGGTGCGTTTTGGAGCTGAGAAGGTCAAATTTTGGGGTCTGCAAAGGTTGCAGTAATATTCAATATAGATTCTAAGATCCAAATTTGGTAAGTTTTGGAGCAGAGAAGGTCAAGTTTTGGGGTCTGCAAAGGTTGCAGTAATATTCAATATAGATTCTTAGATCCAAATTTGGTAAGTTTTGGATCTGAAAAGGTCAAATTTTGGGGTCTAATGAAACTTCAATTATTATTGCAAAGGTTGCAGTAATATTCTATATAGATTCTAAGATCCAAATTTGGTAAGTTTTGGAGCAGAGAAGGTCAAGTTTTGGGGTCTGCAAAGGTTGCAGTAATATTCAATATAGATTCTTAGATCCAAATTTGGTAAGTTTGGATCTGAAAAGGTCAAATTTTGGGGTCTAATGAAACTTCAATAATTATTGCAATGGTTGCAATGATATTCAATATAGATTCTAAGATCCAAATTTGGTGCGTTTTGGATCTGAAAAGGTCAAATTTTGGGGTCTAATGAAACTTTAATTATTATTGCAAAGGTTGCAGTGATATTCAATATAGATTCTTAGATCCAAATTTGGTGCGTTTTGGATCTGAAAAGGTCAAAATTTGGGGTCTAATGAAACTTCAATAATTATTGCAAAGGTTGCAGTGATATTCAATATAGATTCTAAGATCCAAATTTGGTAAGTTTTGGAACTGAGAAGGTCAAATTTTGGGGTCTGCAAAGGTTGCAGTAATATTCAATATAGATTCTTAGATCCAAATTTGGTAAGTTTTATAGCTGAGAAGGTCAAATTTGGGGTCTAATGAAACTTCAATTATTATTGCAAAGGTTGCAGTGATATTCAATATAGATACTTAGATCCAAATTTGGTAAGTTTTGGATCTGAAAAGGTCAAATTTTGGGGTCTAATGAAACTTCAATTATTATTGCAAAGGTTGCAGTGATATTCTATATAGATTCTAAGATCCAAATTTGGTAAGTTTTGGAGCTGAAAAGGTCAAATTTTGGGGTCTAATGAAACTTCAATAATTATTGCAAAGGTTGCAGTGATATTCTATATAGATTCTAAGATCCAAATTTGGTAAGTTTTGCTGAGAAGCTGAGAAGGTCAAATTTTGGGGTCTAATGAAACTTCAATTTTTATCGCAAAGGTTACAGTGATATTCTATTTAGAATTTTAAGCTTCAAAAGGTTCTGTTCTGCTGTACAAAATTGCTTGAAATTATCCCGCGGAATATTCCATGGGTCCCATGATCCTCTGCCCAGTGCAATTTTTCTTGGAATCATCAAGATCCCTTTTTTATTGAATTGAAAAAGTTTTCCAGCATTTCTTTAACTTTCTTTCATTGAAAATAATTTTTTATTATGTTTTATAATCCTCCCGAGAATTCAGGTTAAGATTGATTTGTTGGGCATTGGGCGATGGGAATTAGCGAAACTTAAGGTTATAAAATTTTGAAAATTAACAGAATCTGATTGATTTTTGGTAGTACATAATGATATTAGTCAGCCAGTCAGTCCTGCTGTTTTCCTTGAGGCATGAACCATGACTCCTGCTACCGTTTTCGGGTTTCAGTTTTTCATTAACATAAATGATTATTTATGATTTCATTGGAACTCTTTTATTCAATTCATTTTCTTTCGTGCAAGAGTTAATTAAAATTTTGCTTGAAGATTCTTTTCGTTCCTTTCTTTCCATCCAACTCATGATTTCGGTCGGAAAACTTCTTAATTTTAATTTGAATGCAAAAACCTGTGAGAGAAG